TAACGCTGCTCTAGCACCTACAGCAGCGTGCATATGTGGTCTATACAGTCACATCCTCGGCGGAAACCTGTCTACTCTACCCTACTCCGAGATTCCCGTTCACAATGAGACGACGAACGTGAATCAAGACCAGTGATCTTGTCACACTTTGCGTTCGGCTGATACCACTTTGTTAACACTGTCGGTGCGACTGCCCTTCTTGTATATTGCCTCTATAATCTATTCATTTCAGTTAGTCGGGATAGTTTCTTCCTTCCATACATGTTTGAACAATCAGGTCAGTGTTTTGCAGAAGACCTCACCCCCATCCTGAAATAGTGCGAGCACGAGGGAATCCGGACCAGCAGCAGAAAAACGAGTGAGACATGCGATCACATTTCGGACCTCAGTCTCCGATGGAGCCTCTAAACTAACCGTAAACGGCTCATCCTGCATCACCTAAGTGGGAATGTGTCCAAAATCATGGGTCCGACTGAATTGGTATTAAAAGTGCTTTGCCCTTCGGCGCTTTTTGCGGTGAATCAGTACATCTGTCTCATTGACCCCTGGTTTCCTGTGACCAGTAGTGCGAAACAGCTGGAAGCGTTTGCGCTAATTGCCTATTGCTTCCGCCTCCTCCATTTCTTGAGTCCGCCTAGTCCACCACACTTCCTTGTGAGCGCCCAGACTCCGCTTTAATCCCCGCTTAATAGTCCGTCTGATCACATTGTGCTCAGATCCAGCCGGGAGTTTTCTTCTGTATTCCAACAGGTTCACCGACCTCTCGGTTATCCAGTGACTGGTGCGGTGACGACTGATATTATAACAAGCAAAGGATGTTGTATGGTGCATGGCGGTCGATATCCTATTCCGTTACAGCACAGTCATTAGAACAAGAGAGCGAAAGTTCGGTACACAGTGCATCCCGGTAAGCTTGACTGAGCGAGGGCCAAGGTGACCTTTCAGTTGCCAATCGAGGGAGACACCTGGTACGCTTCCCAGTAAATTTCATGGAAAAAGACCATGTACCAATGCATGATCAGAGTCAACGCAAGTACTCCAGTACAAGCGATAATCCAGGATGGAACCACGCCACTTGTAACTAATAGCAATGTGATCGTTTTTCTTCCATCGCTGTCCAGCTACAGGTGGACACCATGTGGCACTGCGGCGCTCACTGTGTCTAGAAGAAATAACGGATGATCCGCGCACCTTTGCAATGGATGCTCGCCGTTTTCCGTCGTTCGGAGTTAAGCCCATAATCATCACCTAGCTGAGCTTCTGAAGAGCCCAGGAGACCTACTTGTGCGTTCACATCCCTTACAAGAACTATGATCGCATCTGAACTGGCAACACTGCGATTCATCGTGTTCAGTTCCGAGTAGAAGGTGTCCTTTGTAGCATCAGAACTGCAGTCGGTGGAGGCTTAATCAGAAATCACAAGCAAACAGCATCTTGTACTAATTCATGAGTCCATTTTAGTTGATATTCTCTAACGGGTTGCATACAGACGGCTGTTCACGGGAATCCGACCAACTAGCGATGACTCAGTCTTGGAAGTGAGAACAATGCGTACCCCAGCTTGACCCGCGATTGCTGCATGAGCGTCCCCGAATGCGTACAACTAATGGCGAGAGGACAAGTCTAGCGCATTTAATTAAGCATCCCCACGATGATCCTTGGTCCTAGTTTCTGATGCATAACACACCTCAGTATCCAGCGTGTGTAACGTGCGTTCGAGTGCAGCATGTTAACTTATTTGTCTTGTAGTGCGAATGTTGGACACCGTGAGGGAAATGGGACAACGTGGCATTTTAAGGAGCTCTTTGCTTTTAGCGTCCAATAAGTGGAGTGGGAAGGTAGCTGCATATGATTCGACTCCAGTGGCATTACGGATGCTGTCAATTAAGCTTGTACTAATAGAAGGAAAGTTAGTTATGGAGGCTTTTAGGAAGTAAGCGAAACAGGTGGAAAACAAAGGGGGTACCAGCAGTAACATGTTTTCGCTTATCCGCCTTACTGTATGCAACAGACAAGGCGACCCTTGATAATCTGCGCGATGACCAATGCAGGATGTGGTCGAAGTTTGAAGAAATAGTGATGGTTGTACGTAGATTGCGCTAATGCTAGGGCGCCCTTACCTAGACAGCAGAACGACTCGGGTCTCCAACCAAAGCCTTTGACTCAAAAACTTGTCCACAAAGCAGCGGATGTGGTCACGGTCCGGTTTAGTAGAAATAGGCCCCATCCCATTTCAAACCCCTAACTTGGAGAACCAGAAGATTGAGTTCGTCTGACCTCTAGCTGTTGACCAACCTGGTATGAGTACCTCTTAAAGGGCCGGAGACACCACTCATTTTACCTCAATGGATAGACGAGGTACTCAAACCTTCCCACCACCTTAAGGTCAAGTCTCATTGCGACGGATAGGTAAACACAGAAAATCGAGAACAGTCAAGCTAGTTTTCCAGACGTCAGATTTAGTATCAGGGAGGAGTGATGATTGCTACGACAACTGCTTGCACTCAAGTTCATGTGGGACCGGAAAAGCAGAAAAGTCTTGTGTATGTTCTTTCTTGAGTGCACTGTCGAAGCATGGAGATCCGAAGCAATACGCGCAACTCACACTACTGTCAACCAAGTATTGCCTGCAGTGGCAGTCCCCACTGCGCCGGTCACGTAAAATGAGAACAAACATGCAAAGTAACAAAAAGGACTAAGTAAATAGAAATAAATAAAGAAGCATAGCAACGAAAATCATTAATGGCAGATTTTAGGATGTGTATGGGAAGATTTGAAACTGCAATCCAAGAGTTTGAATATACGCTCGAATAACTACTTTTATTGCTTGTGACGGTTATCAACGCCCTAAGGGAACGCATTCCAGGAATCAACCACTGTAGGTGACAATCGGGCGTCGGTCCAAACCCCATCAGTTTGTGCGACTTCATCGCATGCCCGTGGAGACGGGGAAAAGCAGGATAAATCAGGACCGATCTTCCTTGTCAGTATGCGATAAGACCGACAGTACAGCGAAACCACTCCGAGCCTAAGGAGTCTCTTGTTATAACGCTGTACTCGCTATCGACCGGTTGATTCACGCCTGCTGGTAAATCTGCGCCCCCTTACGCCTGCTCTGCTTGACGCTTTAGCCACCCCGACAGGAAGAAAAACCGATGAAGGCTCAGCCGACCAGAGTTGTATTAGAAACGAGAACGCTCATATTTATAGGTCGGTCTCACCAATCCTCTATACACCGCCTGGTGGATTTGGCTACCTGTCTTCCTCGTATGCCTACGCTCCACACTTGACTGTCCGCTCCGTCTGGCCAGTTCACCGTCTTGCTTGGGCACGCCAGTTTTAATGCGCCTACCCGGGGCATGGCAACGTACGTGATGTCTGACGTGCGATTTCATCAACTTCCAGTCAGACCTTGGCAACACGCATGATGTCTGATGCGCGATTTCATCAGCTTTCGGCTGGGCCGTGGCAATACGCTCGTGGGGTCTGTCCCAAGCACGCTTTTGGCGAACACGCGCTCGTTGGCAATCCTGTCATCTCTATGGATACGACAGGGGTTGTAGTGCATCTACCATTTTAGTACTAACCGTTCCACTAACATCCCATCAAGAAACAAGCATAGTTGACTGGCTTGGACTCTATGTGTTGCCTGAGGAAGGTTTAGAACAACCTGGTGAGCATCTTTTGTGTGATAATTCCAACTGACGTGGATATCATCCAAATAATTTTGAAATGTTTACCGTCGGCTTTCTCCCAGTACTCACTACATCTGAAATCTGATGACAGTATAACACCCAGCTAAATCAGTTGGGAAACCTTGACTTGCTCATTTCCACGAACTAGATAATGTGTGGAGATGCTTATTACGTTCCTGTGTACTGTAGGACTTTTGCTTTTCGAGATAGTTGTGTAAAGCAGGAAAAGCACTAAGTAGCCGTTTTGCCATCTTGAGACTCATCAGACCAGTGTGCACGCATCCGATGTGGCTGCGAGGGGCTTGAAACAGTGGTCTGGCGTTTGCAGTTATCTTAGTCTCTAAATCGCAGCATGTTACCAGTAACCGGCATCCACAAGTAGCCGGTCATGATCTGCTACTACACATTCTCAGCTGCCGTGCACATTACTACTGGGCGGAGGGCAGAACATCCCATTCCAAAACTACGGCTTCCCATCCTTAGGCTTTTGGTTGACCCACGGCATTATGAGCCATTGCAGCAGCAAACATTTTACAACGCAGCAGTGATTACTTTCCATGGAATTATTAACAAGTGAATCAGTTTCATTGCCATACCGCACTCTTGTTTTTCTCTAGTCTACGAGATTGATTTTCTCCCTGCTTACCAACTCGCCACTGTGGCTGAACTGCGTCGATGCATCCCCTTGACAAGTTGATCAGTCTATTCTGATTCCCTAGGTAGTCACTTCCTCGAACTGTCTGTCAGTCACGTGCCCCTGCATACTACCGAGCTGTTCGCTTCGGACTGAAATGGTTCAATGACTGCAAATTTTGACAAGTTGAAGAATTAGATCAACGGACCATACCATTTTTCTTGATTGGAGGTCACGTGATCGACCACCATCAGTGATTACAAACCTTATCCGTCACACTGTATTCGTGAGATCAGTGACACTGAGGTACTCGATATCCTGCGTTTATCCGTTTATATTTTCATCCTGATTATATCCCTTCGACTTCTCTGACTCCTGTTATTGTCGTATTTGCCTTTGCATTTTCCAACCGTCGTTCATCTACTTTACGGCATTTCCAGTCATCGCAAGTATGTCAGCTGCATTTCGGTCTCCAAATCCATGTTCCTCAATTGAAGTGAACTCACCCGGTGGCCATCGCTGTTTGAAATTTGTCATGCCACGGACACCTCATTTACCATTAACATGATTGGGAGACCGCCGTTCGATGTCGCTTACTTTATCATATGCACTTTAACAGGCCTCAGTCTTTTCCCAAATTTTTCAGCAGCAACCTTGTCCTTTTTTCCTAGGTCGATCTATACTTGCTCTTTGCCCCAACCTCCTTGCGAGTCGAGGTGCTGCATGTCATTCGGGACTCGAAAATTCCAGTGTTCTCCATGCCGTGGGATACACACTTAAGGAATCTTCGTCGGCCATTCGTCTAAGCGTTGGACGGTATACCACGAAAGATGAGATCCTTGAAGCGGTCGCGTCTATTCGGAACGCCGTCTCTATGTTACGCTCGACAGAAAATTCCACCTATTAGATCCTCGTCTTTTTGTACTCCCCGCATATATGTACAGCCCCCTTCGTCCTTCTGTTTCAGTATTGCACCGTATCTCATCCATAGATGAAGTATTTTTATCATTGGCATGATTTACCTACGTGCATTTATATAATTCACAAATGAAACCTATTCCCTTGACATCAGAAACAAGAGTTGGCGAACAAGCTTGTTTTCGATGGGTCTCATCAGAAGTACACACTATTACTGATTGGAATAATGTGAGCGAAAAAACATCAGGTATTAGAAAAGTTCAAAGGTATAGGTTGTCTGAGTGACAATGCCAAGTGCTTGAATCAGAAGGAGTGAAGGACGTGCCAGTGACGTGATCCCCACAACATGGGTCATTGTGGTGGGGGACAAGGAAGAGAGGGAATCTGGACTAATCGTTTTTGTGTCCACGAATCCGGGTTTCGGAAGCGAATACCAATCGCTTTGAAAATTGATAGTAAGCGACATCTTACTACTCGTGTGTGGCGTCCATGTCCGCGGTAAATAGGTTGGAAAGGCTAGCTGACATCGCTCTGATGGTTACAACCAACTAAGTTCGTCAACACGGTGATCGTCACTGTTTTCGTCCCTCCACCAGATAGCCAAGCCGAACAGTCTCATGGATTATTTCAGACAGCCTCCTGGTAGTTTTTCCGATATATCTTGCTCGACATGAACAAGAAAAGGAGTATGCTTAGTATAAAGCACTAGAACGAAGAAGTCTATCCTTGAGTTGATGCCTCGCGTCTGGTGTTGAAGTAGAGCTTAACCGTGAACTAGGTATGGTCAATGGCATCGGATAGCATTCTAGACGTTACCTGCGTTATTCTATTTCGCTTGAACGGTATCGATAGATAGACCAGTTTCCGACCGGAACTATTTTAACTTTCTCCGAACAAATCTTTTTCGGATAGCCAATTTTCTATAAAAGGCCACTTAAGGAATTGAACCTGTCCTCAACCTCATTACAAATCATTTTGGTGCTTTCGGTTAAACATCTAAATAAATAAATAAATGGTATATTCCTCAACGATGCGAGGCACAGTCCAACTATGTGGTCTGATCAATGTGTACAACAGGATCGCACAAAATAAGCAATTGTTCACGTTTTATACAGTGGATCCAAAACGGATATTAAATAATTGGCAGGTTTAAGGTATTAAAGAAATGGAAAGGCTGTTATCAATAAGAGATACAGATTTATACAAATGTTCAGCTAAAGTAATACCATCAGCCTTGGAACCGTCGCTAGGGGACCTGCTTCCATGCAGGGTATTCCGACGAAAGGTTTCGCCCACACTTCCATGCTATACCCTGCCGCGTGCCGGTGTGGCATAGCAGCACATAAGCCATCACCTGTTTATCATATGTTGTGTTCTTTTTAGGGCTGCTTTTATACATGCATTATGAGCGATGAAACCTCAACCCGGTCCGTCATGCGGATCATTCAATTATGGAACTTTTTATACGCCGGTCGGTCGGTGGCATTGTGCATTGCATGAGTATAGTTTTTATAGTCTGGAATTTTCAATCCGTCAGGAGATCAGCCCAGTCGTGGCCAACGATGAAATAAAGAAGAATGTAAAGTAGAAAAAATTGAGTACAATGCGTATAATATCGTTAATGCCATTAATAAGCAGATGTGTTTTGCAATAGTGTAAAAATGGATCGAATCAATCATACGGTTGAATTGTGCGGCTCGACAGCCGAAGACAAATAACTGCACGAGTTGTCCATAGGCAAAAAAATTACATAGGAAATCCGATATCGTCAACCACTGAAATCCGGTATATGTTTCTGAACTGTTAACTCCAGAAATAAAGGGAAAATGGTTAGCATTACACAACAAAGGTAGCGAAGTGAATTGCAGAACAAATATTACGAATTAGTCGATTTGAGCGGAGGATTACGAAGATTGCTCCTGGCCCCATACCAGTAAATAATTTTGCTCTCGGTGTTAGGTCAGAAGACAGTTGGTATGAATTATGTTTGAAAGGAGTAAAACCGCATAGGAAGTTTCGTTAAAGAATAGCATGTGAAGTAGTTGTAACAGGTCAACCTAAATGATCACGTTCTCGCTGGTGCATTGGTTGAATATGTTCTCCGGTATCATACCTCATCATACATACACCAGGTCTCCTGCTGCCCGTTTCCCGTATAAGACGGAATAACTCACGATGGTTACCAAGGGCAGCGGCCATTTCCATCTCTGTTGCACGACGAGACCACCAGGATTCGCGGTCCCTCTTCTGGCTAGCCGGAGTTTTGCCCAGAGCTCTTTGCGCGTTTCATTGTGTTCGCTTCCAGCCGGAATATGCCGGCGAACATCTATAAGTTCCAAAGACTGTGAAGAGACCTAATGTTCATGTTGGCGATTAGACATACCACATGAGGATTTGCCTGCTGCTAGTAAGGCCTGTTGCATGAGACCAGTGAGCTTCAATTGCATCCAGTGAACGTTTATCCAACTCGGATGACAGCGTAATTTGATAGCCGTTCAGAACAGCTGGATTCACCAGTCTGTCGGTGTCAATGCGCTCACAACGTCGTTGCGGGCGTCCGCCAAAACGCATCCGCAGGTCAGCACATACAAGTGCATGATCGGTGTCAACACCTGTGCTCCAAATCGAGCGACAGTTCTGGACGCAGCCTCTCCAGCGGTAACCGATAGCAATGTGATCGATTTGCGTCCATAGTTGGTTCGAGTCTGGTGGGCGCCAAGTCACCCTCCGGCGGGTGCTGTGTCGGAAATTGATGCTCGCAAGAAATAAGCGAGCATCCTCACACAAATGAAGTAACCGCTCACCGTTATCATTACGGGAGCTTATACCATGTTGGCCGCCCAGATGCAGCTCATCTGTGGATAATTTTCCAACTTGAGCGTTCAGATCCCCAGCCAGCACTACAGTGTACGAGCTTCTTCTGTGGCGAAGGAGTTCGTCTTTTACCGAGTCATCGATACGCCAGAATACTACATTTCGATGTTGCAAGCGTCGTCCGCCACATAGCGTATCTCTCAATGGCTTTTAATTCGCTTTGGATATTGTTAAGTTTAGCGGTATGCTGAGAACTTGAGAACGTGTAAACAACCTTTAGATCATCAGCAAACAAATAAGGCTTACCAAATTGTAGAACAGAAAACAAGGTCAGCGGGAAGAGTAACGGACCTAAAACACTGCCCTGTACCACTGCACTGGTGACCATACGAGGTTAAGAGATGTTACCATTTATGTCCACAACTTGCGACCGTCCTACTAGGTACGATTGGATCCAAGAGTGAAGCGGATTTGTAACACCGTACCCAATTAATTTCTATAGCCACCTCTTGTGTTGGACTCTCGTACGTTTTTTGCATGTCGAGGAAGATGAGAATGCACTGAAGACCTGAGTCAGTTGCTTCATTTAGATGGTTAAGGAAATCAACTTGACAGGTCACACGTGAACCGGACCTCAGAAAGCCATTCTGTGAAGGTGAGAGAAGTTTGTGCGATAATAGCAGCGAAACCAAATGTCCTTTAACATTTCTCTCTAGCATGTGTGAGCGAATGGCAGTGTGGCTAATTGGTCGGTAATTCCGGGTATCAGTTTTCGCCCCTGACTTCAAGTTTAAGTGAGACCGGAACAGTAGGAAAATCCCGTGAATATTCTACCTTCGAAAACGCCGTTACTACAAAAGGGAAACCGGTGCATTGATGTACCACAGGAGCGGCAAAGCAACACACACGACTCACATGGGATGACCGTAGACGTTTTCCAACGTTCGGGATATGGACTAGACTGGAAAGACAGAGATATTCAATAACAGAAGAAGGATATCATCTCCACCGTGTTTGACTAAAGCAGAAGTGATCCCATCGGGGCCGGGTCTGTAGGATGGTCGTTACAGGCAATCATGCCTTTTATCGTAACGACACTAAGCTCGATCGCTGAGGCTTGTTCGGAGAAGTTAATCGAGGTTGACAATTCCAGTGCTTCTTTTACAAGATTAGATTCAGCAAAATATGAGCTAAAGGCTTCTGCCTAAGCAATTGGGGAATCAATGCACTCGTCTTCATGCATGACGATGTGGGAGGGTAGGTCAGTTTTGCCGCCTCTCCTTTTTCTCAAGAATGCAATCAACACTTGACTTGTTTTACTACTATTTACAGCCCGTTGTTCTTCCTACATGAGACTGGTTTGATATTTCATATCTTTCTCAATTATAAGGCGTTGGAGTCTCAGTAATACGCTGAGGTCGTGAGTACATCCATATGTTCGAGTTAGCAATCGTATTGCCCGCTTGTCCATTGTGTTGATAACTTACTTAGACGAGGCCATCGTGTTGTCACTAGAGGCAAGCATGATTAAGCACATTGTCATAGATGTCAGAGGCTCTCTGAATATTAGAGGAAAGAAAGAAATGGTCCCAGTTTTTGACCCTAAGCAGAGCGGAAATTGTTACCCAATTGACATTTTGCAGGAAATATGAAACCATCACTGACCTCTAATGCGACGACTCAGCTACAATTTTACATCCGACTATTTTGTGATCACATCCAGGGAGATCGTCTATTACATCAGAAGCTATCGGGGCGTGTCTGAGATAAAAAGTACATCCGATATCTTTTTACCACTGGTAGCCATGAAAAAAATGTTGCTCCCAATCACCAGTGATGACGGAAGTTATGAACTCAACATGTTTCGTGTTTGCTACTAAGTTGGACCAACAGATGTCTGATAGGTTGAAATCTCCGCTAACGACTTTCTCAAAAATTTCAACCAGCTGGTTCTCATCACCAAAGCTGACCCCTGGTGATCAATATATGCAGCCTACAAGCGTTCGCTTAGTACCGAAGGATAAGAGTAAGCGAGCAAAATCAATAGTGGGGCAAAGTGGAAGTATGAATTCCGAGCCAAGGAGGTTTTGCGAGTAGTAACTTATGCAATCACCTCCTCTGCTTTGCTTTCGATCACTTCTACTATGCTTGTAACTTTTGATAGAAAGCAGCTGGCTGGGCATAGAAACATGACACCAGGTTTCAGTGAGTAAAACCATATCAGGTTTATTTAGGCATATGAAGGTGTGGAGTAAATGAAGCTGATTCAACAGAGAACGAAAATTAAGTATCATCAGTCTTAAAAAGTGCTGGCAGTGTTAATCATCCC